GGGCTGTTTTTCAGCATATGGTACTGGCAAACTTCAAATAATTGAAGGAAGGATGAGTGGAAAAATGTAGAGACATTCTTGATAAAAATCTGCTTCCATCTACCAGGATGATGAAGATGAAATGTGGCTGGACATTTCAGCAAGACAATGAGCCCAAACACAAAGCCAAGGAAACTCTCAGTTGGTTTCAGAGAAAGAAACTAAAGCTGCTGGAATGGCCCAGCCAATCACCTGACCTGAATCCAACAGAAAATCTATGGAAAGAACTAAAGATCAGAGTTCATAGAAGAGGTCCACGAAACCTTCAAGATTTGAAGACTGTTTGTGTGGAAGAATGGGCCAAAATCACACCTGAGCAATGCATGCCACTAGTTTCTCCATACAGGAGGCGTCTTGAAGCTGTCATTGACAACAAAGGCTTTTGTACAAAGTATTAGATAAATTTCAGTAATTGTGTTCAATACTTTTTCCCTGTGCCATTCCACATTATTACAAATAACTTAATTTCTGGACATTTATGGTATGATTTCTTTGTATGTATGGATCACTTGGGTTGTTACCGACATCTGGTGAAAATTTCATGTCATTAGCACCTCTAGTAATATATTTACTGAGAAAAATGGTGACGTGTTCAATACTTATTTTACCCGCTGTAGCTGGCGATGTCTCAGGACATCCTCAGTGCACCGTGCCGAATATGGGGTTCGCTGAGAGTTTTTATTTTTTTACACTACGTAAGTTTTGTAAACTTTGTAGGCAGCGAGCGGGTGTGACTGCAATTATTTTATGAAGTCAGAGGAAGACACATGCAGAATAAATTGTGCCGGCTTGGATAGAGGAGGTGGGAAGTGATGTTACAGCCTCAGCAGCTCCAGGTCCATCTGTACGCAACTTTACGTAAATTTCATAAACTTCCATATATTTCGTAAACTTGAGGGTGACTGCAATTATTAGTTTATAATGGTCTCCAAATAATATTGTTTACTGCAATAATTTCTAAGACAAATTATTGTCCAGCAAAATTTGTTATCGTAACAGGCCTACTCATACTGTATGTATTAGTCATCTCAGCTAATACATGTATTACTGTGCTAAACAAACTCAAACATGAAATACCAAATTATCTTTTTGGATTATTAGGACGCTTTAAAGATTTTTTGCTTCATTAATTAGATTTTTTTTAGGTTTGTTTGTTGTTACCTTTGACTGTAGCTGCTGTGATTACTGAAACATTAATCAAATCACAAATATCTCTTGTGTATTTAGTTCAGACCTTCCGAATGATGTGTTACAGTATATAAAAATTATCTGCATCTGCTTTTTTCCCCCAAACGTGAATGTAAGGGGTTAGACACTTTATTTTGTAGGTTTGTATGGGCAGAACATTGATCAGTAACTTTCTTTGTGATCTTCTAATAGCCTGTTTGTTAATCTGCTGACAGACTCTTTGACAGACTTTACATAGAGTTTATTTGCAAATCACAACTAGAGATTATTTCAAAAGTGGTCTCTCGTGACACGTTTGGAGAGACATTTTTCAAACTAAGTGAACAGATGTATTTAATGCTGCTCACTTGTAATTTTTTTTTTTATTCTGAGAAGAACATACGCTAACAACAGCAGCCTAATCTAATGGCGATTTACAGATTTTGATGATCACTAATCCTTACAATCCAAACAGAACATAAAATAAAATCCAGTCACCACAGTGGGAGTCTTAGCTCATGCCAGCAGAGCTGATAATGCATCTAATCTGGTCAACAAAGGTCCGGATATCTTAACAAAATCACATAAGAGTTTTTATACTTTAGAAGACTTAAGGCCGTGACAGCAAAACCATGTTGAGTTTAATGCCCCGATGCTGATGCTGTTTGTTGCTAATAATAAACAGGACTCGCCACAAATTATGATTCATCTTTTAAAATTAACAAATAGGGTGTTGGATTAGGATTAAACCAATAACGTAGCATGTCTTCTGTTCTGGTGGATGAATGAAAATCTTTTTAAATTTACAAAGATGTGGATGAACAAGTTGTTTAGAATACCACAGTATTCGTTTAAGTTTCACTTTCTTGCAAAGTTGAGCAAAAATAGACATTTCTTAATTTACCCTTTCTTTACTCAGTGTTTACAAACAATGAAAACAGGACTTTTTCAGCCATCTGCATCACATTGTCTGTAAAATCTCAGCTGCAAATCATCATTAAAACAAAAATAACTGTTGGAGGAGTGAGACGTGTCAAAACCTAGTCAGGTGTATTCACAAATATACTATTACTGATGGGAAATGAGCAACACGCTCCTTTAAAACAACTATAAAACATGCCGAATCAACTCCGCATAACAGGAGCTGTCTGCTGAATCTGCATCACATTCACTGTAACAAGCTGCAATGAGTAAACGAACAGATCAGACCAGAACAAACCAGTATTATACGGTTGCATGGGGGGTCGGTGGGGGACGTGTGAACTTATGTGAGTGTTTAAAACAATAACCCCATTGTCCTCATGTGTCCCTAAAAAGGAGAGTGGTGGACATAACAGTCAAACTGTTGTAACTGTGGCTCAACAATGCCATTCTGTCTGCATCCACACACACACACACACACACACACACACACACACACACACACACACACACACACACACACACACCAATGAGCACACCCAGAACTGCTCTTTAGCCTCTCAACACATTTGGAGGTGAACCTCAAAGCTGAACACACACAAAAGTGAAAAGAGAGGCAACAAAAGGTTAGCCTTACAGCACTGCAGCCATTTATTGGACAGACATAACCACACAAGCTGAAAAGGCTAATAAAGACCTGTGTGACATGTGACAATAAAAGCATACGCTGTATTTCTGCATCATATAAAGATCTTCTCCTCTCTCTTAGCCACCTCTTGATATTTCACCTTTATAAGCTGCTTCTTCTTCTCCTAAATAGTCGATGTGATCTCCCTTCATGTCTCTTCTTCCACTCATTCATCCATGCAACACCAGCAGCAGTTTCCGCCGAAATGAGGCTATAGATCTGTGCAACACAGTGCGACTTAGGGTGCTCCACTTTTCAGCAGGCTACTCCCACATAATGTGCTGCCGATCTCAAAATCACTGCATGCAAACATGTGCGTCACAGTCCTCCGTGCTACCCGGTGGTGCACAGGAGCAGCGAACCAGGCAGCTACAAAAACACTCGTGTGTGCCAGGATTGCAGATCAGAGGGGTGATGACGATGCACTTACTCCTGGTAAATGGTGTGAATGATACTCTGGTCCAGGCTGAGTTTACACCTCAGTAGTACTCATTTCTAAAACGAAGCAGTCTATGCTTTTAGTTTATATCTAGCATTTCTGAGGATCCTGACAAGTTTAGTCAAATGCATCTGGACTTTGTTATGGTCAATTGAGAGAACCCTAACCATGTAAAAGAGAAGTTCAGCTGCCTTCGATTCAACAGGAGATATGATTACCATGTCCTGGATGACTGAGAATCTTCACCAACTGATAAAAACAAATAAAGCGCACGCATCTGTTTCAGAAATATGTTGCAGGCATATGACATCAATGCAATGTTTTTAATCTAGAAATGCACTCTTGCCTTTAATGTTCTACAAATAACTCTGAGACCAAGGTGTGTAGAGACACTGTGTTGTTAGAAATGTACAAACCCTCCTGTCTACTGCACTGGCTGAACCTGCTTTGCAAACTGACAGGTAATAAATTACCACATGCCTTTAGCTGAGGCACTACATTTGTTCAATTTCTGACAAAAAATGTCACATCTGACAGATTAAAAAAATGGTCTGAGCGAAGGCAAACACCATAATTATGGCTGCAACAAATTATTATTTTTAACATTAGGGGACACGTTTTGTATCTGCCCTATATAAACAAAACCGGTCTTGTTTGGGGGCGATAACCTCCTTTAATAAAATTAGATGGATTTTGGTCTTGTGACAACATGCAAACATTCCTATAATAACTCTACAAAGTCCCTCTGATGTAATCAGTCTTCAAACAGTATAAATGTCAAGAATGTTACATGAAACTGAGCCTAGTTTAACATGGGAAAAAAACCAACTGTCAGGACTCATGAAAACAGACTATTTGTTTGGATATTGCTACTAAGCATTTAGGGAGTATTAAAATGTAATATGCTGACTATTGTGACAGTTTGCAGTTGTTCTATGACACATTCAGGGGTAATTAAAAATAAGCAAACCAGACACCTTAGCAGCCATGCGCCATTAACTTTATTTTGTAAAAGGTCAAAACAAATAAGCCCTACAGGCAGAAGTACAATGCATATTAGATGAGCTAATGACCTCTCTGTGTTATCCTACAGTGACAGTAGTGGGTGTGATCCTCTTTGTTTTCAGGGTCAACAGCTGAGACAGCCTCCTGATCTGCAGCTAGCTCAGCCCCTCCACACCAAAACGGTTTGCTCCATTTAATCTGTCCTGCAAGTATAACGAGCTGTTACTTAAAGAGGAATAACACACGGCTACGTTCATCACATGTTTACATCAGCCACAGGTTTTCATGTTTAGCACATTTTAGCCACACCCATGTGCTATGGTTTGTAGCCGAGGGCTGCGTCCCCCTGACAGGACGTCATTCACTAAAACTCAACGTACACAAACATCCATGTTATAACAACAAAACCCACATCTGGAGACACCTCGGCCCTGCCCGGTGTCTCTCCTCGAGTATCACCGGTAACAATGGTGACGCAAGCTTTGCGGCTAACCAAGTCAGCTAACAGCACCGATTAAGTACAACAATAACAACAGGCCACAAATTCTGGATTCAAACCTCACTGTGCCAGTGAAAACATCAACAGGTGCACCAGGGAGGTTGAAAAGACTGAAGCTAACTCATAAAAACAACATGCAGTCAATGCAGCTCTTTTTATAAAACTGTTCCCTGCTTCTCCCACCACGGTCACCAAACTCCAGATGAAAATATGGCTTAAAAACCGCGCAAAAACATTCTTACCCAAAGAAAGATTCCAACTTCTGGAGAACCTGGGGTCTCCCCCTGAGGTTAAATCCGCCGTGTCATGGGTGTGTTTGTTAGAAGAACCGGGAGGAAAGAGGATTAGCTATCCGCTCCGACGGCTCAGTGGAGGAAAGAAGGGAATGCAGGAATGTGACGTTCAATCCGGTCTGCTGGCAGCGTTGACACGTGCAACCAAAGGTGGGGCATTATGGGAAATGGAGTTTATAAAATAAGCTCTGTGTCCTGTGTTATTACCAAAAGATTTTATATAGTACTGTGTATGACACTAAAACAGCTTTAAAAATCATTTAAAAGACTGACATAAGAAATCAAGATAAGATAAAACCAGTTATACTTATTTTTTTATTTAGAAAATAACATAAATTATTAGTAATGCTGTTTACAATACGAAGTACTTTATATTAGGCCTACATATAAT